TATAAATTTATATTCATTATTAGTTATAGATTTATATCTGGAAATAACTGTTTTAAGAAATCATTGTCTTTTTAGAAGCAATTTAGGAGTATAGCGTTTGAAGGGTTAATATTTGAATACTAAATGTAACGTACTACAGTCAATATATATTTATAATAAACGTTATTATGCTAAATATGTATGATATTGCGAAATAAACTAAGTATATTCTACTGAGTATAAGTTTCATATTTGTACTAAAGTATATTACTTATTTAATATATATGACTGTAAATGAAAAAGCAACTATGAGCATAAAGATATAAAAAATAAGAAAGTGCATTAATTTTGAAATAGTTTCTAGAAAGTGCGTATTAGTTAATTTTTTTTTATCAAAACACTTCTAATGCAAATTAAAGCTTAAATTTGTGAAAGTTTTAATAGTGAAATGCCTTAAGCTTTATATTAATCTACGGGAAGACCACTCTAAATCTGAATGATTAAAAAAAATTCACACTATAATTTCTTCCCTCTAATTAAAACTAATTTTAATAATTTCATTAGAAAATAATTATTCGTAACCGAGAGATTGTGAACTCTTTTTTTTTTTAACTAAGCATAATTTAAACCAGCATTGTGTGTAACAAAAATATTTATACAAAACAAATAAAAAAGTCCCCTATTTTACGAGTCTTTTTATAAGCTTTTGGAAAAGAAACAAAATTGTTAGATTAGTCAGTAAAATATACTATAGCACTTTTAAAGGCAAATAAATCCTTATTTTTCAAAAATAATATAATTATATTTCTCTGAAACCAGACACGTCTCCCTCTCTATGAGTCTTTAAATCAAAAAAGGAACAGCCAAACTTCAAACCCATAACTTATACATTGACATTCTTTACTCGTCAATTCTGTGTATAGATATATCGACATTTCCTATACTTTCTAAATCTCCAACGTTTCTTACAGCAAGAAAACATGCCGTCAAACGCCAAATAAATTCGCCTCTAACAGATACAAGCGGCTACTTGGAATGACCAGCTTACAAATCTTTAATAAACCGCTTCGTGTGATAAAACTAGAAGAAATTTCTGATAAATTATGGAAACTTCGACGAAAATGTTTGTGGATAAAAAACATCAAAAACTCAATCTGATAAAATGAGAGCAAAAAAGGAGGAAAAGAGGGAGTGTGTAAGTAAGCAGGCTTCGAATGACCGACTCCACGGCACGTTCTAGATTTATAGAGTGTATAGCTATATCGAACGTGGTATAGTAGACATAAAATTTGGGATTGGGGAAGGATAATCTCGACTCCCCATCTTTTAGTTTCTCAATGTTCCTGAACTGCAACGACAGAGTATTGGAGAAGTAATGGTTTTGGGAGCTATTGTTTTTATTTTCCGGGTTTTTTTTCCCTTCGTCTTTCCTTTTTTTTGTTTATTTGAAAAAAAGAAGTTTATTTTCTTATCTTAGAACTTTATCTTCTGTTAAAATGTGTCCAGGGGTGTTATTTGTAAAATATAGGACATGTTGTTACTATTTTTTATTAACGTTGGAAAATTCGATAAGTTTTAGAAGTCTTTGTTTACTCTTTATATAAAAATATATATCATTAGTATTCCTTTGTAATATCCTTGGTAATTTTTACTTGATATTTATATAGCATCGGTACAGCTTATTTTGTATTATTTTTCTTATTCTTAGTATTTTTAGTATTATTTTTCTTGTGTTATAATTAGTGTCCTTAATATTGAAAAGGGGAAAATTTTTCTTATTCCTTCTTTTCTTTCTTATTCTAATTCCTTTCCTTTGCCTTGTATAGGCAAATTACATGGAAAGGCTGGGAGGTTTTAAAATTGTCTATCCCACAAATTCTAATTCCTAAGACAAAGAAATTGCTATTAAACAACAGAGGATATCATATATTACCGATTATATATATACATTTCTGTGATGCAATTATTTAATGTATCACACACAATTAGTACCTTCAATTACTTCTGGAAACTTTAATTCGTTGTCTTTATTTTTAAAACATTTAGAGAGAGAGAGTTGATTTCCAAAGTTATTTTAGAATGCTGAATATAAGTGTATGAATAAAAATAATTTGTTTTTCATTATTCGAGAATATCTCACAAGAAAATTATTTATATTAAAAAAAATAGCTGTATACATTGTTATACCCCCATAAAATTTCTAAAATTTATTTTTAATTAGTAGATTCTAAAATTATTATATTTATTTTATTTCTGTAGAATTTTTTACAGTTACTTAACTACGTTAACATTTTTCGGTTAAAAACAGCAATATCTTCATTTAATTTATGATTATTTCAATTCCAGTTGAGTATTAAGTCTAATCCTCGAAAACTTTTAATTATACATTAAAATAATCATTATATTTCTGATACAAACTACAGAAAAAAGTATAATTTATCTTATATATAATTATCTTTGAGTTTTACTATATTTTTAATTAGTTCAGCACAGAATATATAAACAAACGACCCATACGTTTCAAAACCAAATTAATTTTTAAGCAAAAATTGAAAACTCCTCCATGTTGTTCGTAATACGTGTTTAAAAATTTCCTACTTAAAGGCTTGCCACTATTTATTTAGACTTGATGTGAACTTTACTTTTTCTCCTCAAGTATTACACAATTATTATTCAGTATGCATCTTTTTCATTAAGAGCAAATTAACCTTGCTTCGTTAGGTTTCAAGAGGAGTAGTCGATATTAATTATGCAAATGTGTCCGTTTCTTATTTTTTTCATCGCTTTAATAAACCTTGGCGAACTGTAAAGGAGTGTGAATATATAATTTCGGTGAGGATGTGTTTTGGCCATAAGAATATTTCGGCGCAGAGGAGAGTAATTAAGCGAAAAGGTTTACAGCGGGAAGGCGAATCGATCCTGTAAAATTTAATGATATAATGTACGTACAAGAGCTTATTACTGAGGTAGAACTTCTGAATGTATGTACACTTTTACCTGGCACTGTACGAATGAATGTAATTATTCAAATATGACGAGTATTTCCATCCGTAGGGAACTCTGTCTCAAGAACGAATTTCGCTCTTTAGGAAAATGAGCATATGTTCCAACTCTCCTGGTAACTCGTTTACTATGAGTTTTAAGCTAAAAGTTCTTCAAATTCATGAAACAGTTTCATATTTACATAGCACTTGGCATGTTTTGATCCGTGCAGAAAAAATATGCAAAAAACAGGTATGATAACATCGTTGAAACCGGAAATAAGTACAGTTTTATGAAAATGAAAAAGACGCGCGAGAATTCTACTTAATTTGTAATTAGTTAAGAAGAAAAATTAAGCGGCGACCCATTTTTTTTTGTTCCGATAATTATGAGAAAAAGTTAATATGCACCATATTTAAGTTTACATAAAGTATAAATTTTTTAGAAAAATTTAATTTTTAAGCAAAACATTACTTTAACTATCTGTTTCTCAGAAAAAATTCAAATATTTTAAAATTTTTACTATTTTTCAAATTTTAATATTTTTAAACAATGTTTTCCTTTGATTTTTAGAAGTAGTACACATAATTCTCGAGTATATATGTTTCGCGCTATTAGTATTACTCATACTTTTACACTTTTTCCATCCCACTCACTGAAAAACAGTAAAAACAGTTATATCTAAAAAATAAATATTGTAGTATAAATTACTTACAGAGGCGTACACACAGATTACTTTCATGGGAAGGATTACATTTTAAAGTAAACATAGACAAATGCACTGAGACATAGCGTCTATGGTAAAAATTGAAAATCTGCTGGTCTGTGGAAGGGGTTTGAACCCTAAACCTCACCCTTGTATATGTCATTGATATATATAACTATTTAGGTTATATAAAGTACTTCAAAAACAATCTAACTACAAAATGGAAGCAAAGACTACAAATTATGTATCATGCCTATCATGTATGCCTATAATCAGTTTTTTTCTGGACATATAAAAATTACATTTTAAATTTATTTTCATTCCTCCCATAGTTTCATTTAAAAAAAAAACTTTTTAAATCGTACCGCTCTGATAACACCGTTTGGTACTTGAGTATTATACCGTCAACAAATTTCGTTGAAACGTTCCCACGAGCGAACATATTAAAAACGATGATAGCTTTTGCCGACATTTTTTAACTGTTGATATCTTTCGATTTGGCAAAATTCATTCAGATTATAATACGCAACTATCACCCTTTTCAATTTTATTGAGACATTTTATCATTTTTTTTTACCATACCATTAATTTTCTTTCGAATAAATGCATGCAATGCCCACTGATTATCTATATATTTGCTTTTAATAAATGCTACTGTAACTCTACCATACTACTGGTACTTTTTTTCTAGTTTATTTAGGGGGAAAAAACATTTTTTCTGCTTATAAATCTTCTAAAATTCTAAAAACTTTTACTTTTAACGAGGAATTCACTAACCTTATCGCAAGCTGTAATCGCCATCGTTTTTGGTTAGCACTTCTTTCAAGTGACGCTCTGAAGTCCCTCAATTGTATTGAGTGTTTTACTTATATTTATTTTTAAAGCAGCTTATTTGACACCAGTATTTGACAGATTGGAATAATTTTGACCCAAATGTGGCTTTTTCAAGAGTGACTTCATCTGCTTTGTAGGGGTATTCGATTTATTCCCACGAGAAGAAGCAGTTTGGTAAAATCACCGAGTTACTTCTTTTTCACTCGACATTAAAAATATTGAAGTATCTTGTCGGTCAATATCCATACCAGGTCAACATTACGTATTCTAACTTCTAATTTCACCTCGGCACCGTAATAAAAATTAAATAAATCGCTAAATAATTTAGCTTCGTACACATCTTTAGCAATGTTACACAATTTTAGCAATAAAAAAAGGTCAGCCAATAAAACAATTTATATTTAGTTTACTGTGTCTTCTTCACGCGTAAGCTCATCATAGAAAAAATGCAAGATTCTGTGTATTGACAAGCATATTCATTTATTACACATTGGTACCAACGACCACACCATCCTGAAAACACCGGTTCTCGCCCGATCACCGAAGTTATGCATTATCGGGCGTAGTCAGAGAGAGAGAGAGTACTTGGGGAGTGTGGCCACCTAGGAACACTGTGCGTTGGCATTCTCTTATTTCGCATCGGCAGAGATTAGTGCCTCCCTCTGAAGAGGAAGCTGGACATCAAAATTACTTACGACAGTTGGTATCGCCTATACGGTGGCACACTAAAAAGCAATACTAGCTCCTTGGGATTGTACTAGGTCTGCAAAGGTAGAAATACCAATCCGCAGGGGGGGATATACATATTGCCTATTTAAATTGCAATTTTTGTGAAAACAAAACATTTTCTCAGATTTCAATATGTTGAGATTATTCTGATGTCAGGCCAGACTAAAACAATTGAATAAAAAATATGAAAAAGGCAAGATTAACTTATGTGTCCCGTTATGTACCGACTAAAACAGTGTACACGTTCGCATCATGAATTTATTTATGTGCGATGATAATTTTGCTTAGATTTTAGCCTAAATGGGTCAAAGACAAAAGTCGAAAATTTGATTTATAATAGGGTTCCTTCAGGTATGGTCAGCCATGGGAAAAATGCGCGACATCAAGCAGGCACTGAGCTCATTGATAGTTGCTGGCCCGAAGTTACCCAGCTATCGAGTGGTGCAAAAAGCTTATTGTGTGATGTTAGGCCATATGCTGCCATTAAGTATGTGACGGACCTATACGCGCTTCCACTAATATCTTCTTATCTCTTTAAGCAAAATATTTAATTCAACCAACTTTCAACAAGTAAGCAAACGTAATTTATGTATAAATGAGGTATATTATATAAATTCGGTTTTCGCGAGTTGGCAGTAAGAAAGGAAGTGATTTAATGACACGCTGAAGTTGATACGTTAGATGTGTGCAAATAGGAGTTTAACAGAAGTTTGAGAATTAGTTGAAGATTGAAAAGCAGTGGAATTAATTAAAGATTACGGAGCGTGGAGCCATCGTCATTTGATCAAGCTGAAGAGAGTGCTTGAAAGTTCCAGTGTAGGATCCGATGCATTAAAGGTTCAGGTACTGTACACTTGATTAAGTAGAAGCTAGTTATTAGTGTGCAACGTAGTTGTCATTGAGCTTATTTAAGCTATCTTAGATTCAGTTGAGGGTCTTTAGTAGTTTTCCCGTGTTATAGAATCTCTCCTCCGCACTCTACTATTACTCGTATACCTTAATTAGAATTGTATTGTTTCTGTTTGATAATTGTTAATAAGAATTAATAAATCAAATTAGATTGGAAATAATGTCTGTGGATTACTCAGTTCCTCCTACATATCTAGCCGGGTTTACAGGTAGACAAGAGGGTTCGGATGTAAGAGATAACCGAACGTTACCACAAGTATTGACATAATGCCATGCTGCCTATGAAATCGTTCTCATTTTTTTTTCTTTGGAATATTCAAGGATGTTTTCTGGTAAGAGGACCGTGATCAACTCTCTGCACCTAATTCAGAATTTCCTTAGTGTCAAGAGAGGTAAAAAATATTTTTTTCTGTAAAGAATGAAGTAAATCATGGTAGGTTTAGGTCTCTCAGTGAGGGAATTTCGACAGTCATGAAAAATTCAGGAGGAATGAAAATCTTACTTTTACAAGTAATTTTTCTTCAGTTTTTTAAATAATATATATAATATGCGTTTATGTTAACCAAATAAAGAAGTATTAGTAATGAAATAAGTAAATTCATAAAATAAACCTATCTTTTTGATCTAATATTATAACAGAGACAATTGCTCTGTTTTTGGCGAGTATATTCGCCATTGCTTAATTTCCATGGTACACATATTTGCACTCTCTCAAACGAGAGCTTTACAGTTAAATGGTTAAGTAACACACAATTTATCTATACGTTCATCGTAATTCTATTTAAAAATTATTTATACGTGGAATATTTCCCTGATAAATTATTATTTTTAACATCTATACTCAAAAAATGACTAAAATAAAAAAATATCAATGAATAAGTAATGTATAGTACTATAGAAAGGAGAAAGTAAAGAGCAAAGCGAATTTTGTTTAATTTTTAATTAGTTAAACAAGGTTAATGCACTCACACACGTATTTTATTCAATGTTTTACTATTTTAAAAATTAAAATCCTTTGTGTGTCGGTGGCTTTATTTTGTAAGATATCAGATCTAATTAAACTAACCTAATTTCCCGAATAAAGGATTCCCAGAGGAATTTTTCTTTGTTTCGATTAAGACGATTTTTCATTCAAAGATGGGGCAGTGGCTCAACAAAGGGAAAAAAGTATTAATTGGATTAAATAAAAGCTTAATTAGTTAAAAGAGTTAAATCAGAAGATAAAAATAAAATGAGGATATCAAGTACTGTAAGTAAATATGCAATTAGAATAGATAATGAAAAAAAGATAAGGGGACAAGATAATAAGTTTCAATAACGCTGCTCTTAATAGTCTGAGTGAAATTGCTTACAAAAATAGTCATATCGTAAAATTCATATTAAGTAAATTAATAGTCAACAAATGGGTAATCTAACTTTTTTAAACATTCGTGTACCTTTTTTGTGTGTGTGTTGCTTTCTCTCTCTCTAGTAAAAATAAATATTTTAATTAATTTTTAACATAATATAGAACAATTTGTACAAGAAGTATTAATGTATACAACTGATTCCCATGAAAATCTACCCTTTTCTTATTTGTTTTCTTTCTGCGAGTTTTACTGTGGAAAGGATAATTCTAAATGCTCTCCCTCAATATTTTTGAACATGTTGATTTTCCATTGAAATAACGTCATACATAGCGTTTTGATCACAAGAGTAGTTGGTCAGTAAAGTGTATAGATACTTATTTTATAAATATACGGTGTTTATGATGGCCAAATATTGGAATAAGAACATCAGAGAAGGAGTAAGACCATAGCAAATGTTACAGCAAGCGTGAGACTTTGGTCATACGAGTTCTATAAATGAAGTTTTGCAGACGTAGTATGCATTACGTGTATAAAAGAGATGCTATTGCCGTAACACTTATTGCAGATAATTTCAAGAAACAAGAAAAATTACTGAGATCAAGTAAGGTGTGAAGGATCTTCACTCGCTGGAGAAGAAGCTCTTCACCTAGCCATAAGAGAACATCTAAATCCAATCGTGTCTTAATCAGATGAATTTTTACAGTGGCCAAAATTACCACCTGTTTATGGTGACTGAAAGCATTAGGTTTAGTAAGAAATCAGCTCAGAGATACAAATAAGTTTACTGCATATCAACGGCATTGGTTGAATTTCTACCAGTGATTCGTTGCCTTTTTTGAAAGATACATAAATAAGTCATTCTTGAAATAGATTGTGACTGGAGATGAGAAATGGTTTATATATATATACGTAATGTTGAAAGTTGATAGAGCTTTTGTGTCTGCTTTCTAAACTGCAGACCTTGACTTCTAAATAAGAATTTCTTTCTTAAAATATTTAGTTAAATGTGTGATTGATAGAGGCTCAAGAAATAATTGGCCTTGAGGTCCTGCAATCTACTTAAACAATGAATGCTACGTGTTACATTTTTAAAGTAGATTAAGATCCACATTGGCATTGAAGAAGCTTAGAACTATCATGCAATTTGGTGGTATCCTTTATCACGACAAATCGAAGCCTTTTGGTGGTGTCAACTGTCTCGTGTTTCGAGCGTCGACCAACAATTTCAGACGATTGAATGCTTTAAGATGAGCAGACAGTCTTCTAAGAACGTTTTTCCCTCCGATCCTCAGGGTTTTTAATAATGTAGAATTGATCTCCTAACAGCAAGCAAAATAGCGAAAGGACATAGTCAGGTTTTGCCTATCTTGCATTCTTAGAACTTCATCGTCTCAAAAGAAGACAATTTTCGCACTTGTCTAACACATTTGAAAATGTAAATTTTTCAAATGGAATTCAAATTTAAATTTAAATTTTACCCGTTGAATATTATTACTATAAAGCTAAAACAAAAATTATTACTTCAAAACACTCGTTTAAATATATTTTAGTTTCACTTTTGAGAATAAGTGACTAATTTTAAATAAAATCTTAATTGAAACTTAAACTAGCACATAAAATATGATTACATTCAGTTTTATTTACGAATAAGCCAAACGTAGTATCAAACAATCGCTTATTTTTTGTTTCCATATGGACATTTCATACTAAAATTTAATATTAAAATCTTAAGAAGAACCTTATTAGATCGAATTCTAGTATAGAAATACTAAAAATAGAAATCTTCCTTTATTTATACATTCTTTCAAGCCTTCCAACATGTTTAGTATTCAACACAAGAAAAGTGTAGTAATTATTTTGCAAATGTGATAATGAATACTTAAGCCCCACAGAGGACACCTCTCTTTACAGAATATTTAATTGGAATGCAATTCACTTTAAGGATTTATATTTATCCAACATAGGTTTTAAATGAAACTTTTTAAGTAGAATTGAAAAATCTATATACAGCTGTACATTATAAAAAAGAAACAGAAAGATTAATACCATAGACAAGGCTTAATTTATATCTTAGCTTAAAAACAAAGCACAAAATCTAGCTCATTTTTAACAAGAAGTTTTTACGGGTCTCTTTGTTTAGAAAAAAAAGTTATCTCTAAATTCTCGACTGACAGTAAAGAAAAAAAAATACTGATGCTTCTTTTTTTAGCCCGTTAGACATTGAGCGAAAGCTGGTATTAGCGGCAAGTTTCCGATGACATCTGCTACATTTACCCAGAAACGCTTTTAGGAAGAGAAATTTTCCGTTTACTCAAAGACTTGTATTTATGACATAAATCAAACGCTGCATTTTTTCTCTCTCTCTTTTTCTCCAGGGGCGCTATAGATCACTTAAAGATGACACAAATAAGAGATATGATGTATGATGTCGTCAACACTTGCACCATTTCGCATTACTGGTTTAAACCACTGCCTTTCGAAATAAGATAAACAGATCGGTGAAAAGCGATTGGAAGCAGGAAGCGACGTCCGTTTGGACGCTTTTGATATTCTTCAATCGGCATCTCTGCAGTTTGAAAGACATCAGAATGGAAGAAAAGAAACACATTCAAGTGATGGATCATCCTCTTGGATGA